TATAAAAATATCGATATAGTTTTTTGGGTTTTAGAAGCCTCCAGAATATGATTCTGATATACTTTAAATCTAACTGTTCTAAAACCCTCAAAATAACATTGTGTTCACCAGTTTTATAGTCTTTATTAGACTCTTCATCTTTTTCATTGGATTCTTTATCAGGTTCTTCATCGGGTTCTTCATAAGATTCCTCCTTTTTATCTTTATTAAATTCCTCCTCTTCATCTTCATCAGATTCCTCTTTTTTATTATCAAATTTATTATTATCTGAATTCTCCTCAGAATTTTTTTTATCATTGTCATTATAAATCAAATTGTTCTTACTTCCCAACAAGCAATTGGAGATACCACATTTTTTGAATACCCAGATAATAATTTCTTCAAAAATATTATCCCAAGTATTCAAAACCCAATGGCATATTGTATTCAGATCGGCACACTTCAAGTTTTCATTTTTAGGTATACTATTACTACCATTTTATGCCAATATTTACGAAGCTCATTTTTGAAAGGTTTGTTGATACAAATATCAAGAGGCTAGCACATACTAGTAAGGCCCTAGGAATAATAGCTAAATCTGTATTTCCTGAATAAAATGCTGCCTTTATCTGATTCATAATGAGCTAAAAAAGAATCAAAGACTAGCAATGCTTTCAAATTATGTGGTCCTGGTTAAACATTATTCTAATACTTTATCTATTTATTCATTTCTTGTTCATCCATCTATCTCTTCTCTTAAAACCAAACTATTATACTAGCTAAAGGTCATAGCATATTAGTTGTCCAAATCTTTCCTTTAAAAATAATAACTGGTGGTAGCTTTCTACTATCAGCAAGGCATGTCAAAACTACTATAAATCAGTTCTTCTCATTCCCAGTTGTTCTAATATGAACTGCCTTTGCACCTTTGGCATTCATAGTTATGGTATCTGCTATATCAAAATAAACTAGCATTTTATTCATATTTGCAATTATTTCAAAAAGGTAATTGTTTTTTGATAAAAGCGAATAATAAACTACTGAAAGTTAAGCAGTTGATTTTCAAGATTCTCTAATAACTTCTATGCGATTTTGGTCTTATATCAGAGAAAAAGATCATGCTGTTTTAAAAATAACTAACCCAGTGTGTTGAGATCTTAAACTTTTCGATTGCAAGCTTTTTTAGATTTATCTTTTGTTTGTTTAATACTATTATCCAAGATTTCAGCTATTTTAAATTTTATATTAGGGTAAGTAACTATGAGACCATTCTATTATTTACTCAAAAAGTTAAGACTCTTCTTCAGGAAAAAGTGCATGGAGCCCAGAGCCAATGCTTCATATATTCTTTTGAAAAAAAGAAGGTAGAGTTTGAGAAAACTTCTTAACCCAACAACTAAGTATAGTTAAATTTAAGGAATAGTGCTGTGCTGCATGTGAATTTGAAATATGATGAGCCAATTTCATGGCCTTATTCCTTTCCTCAATCATGTAAGAATTTCTATCTTTTTATTTTTTTTTAAAAAAAAAAGAAAGATTGAAAGTTCTTTTAAAACTTGAGTTGACAAAAAAAGTTACTTAAAAAAAAAAAAGGATGAGTAGTAAAGTTTTTTTTTTCTATTGCATTTAGCAAGTGATTTTTTTTTTTTTTTATGTTTAGTTTTTTTTGAAATCTAAATTACAGTATATTAGATAAGTAAAAGTATTGATTTTTATCTTTTTTTTTTTTTTTACTGAAAAAAATTTAGAAGGTTTTTATATTAATTGATAATATTCAACTAATTAATAGTGTTCTAATATTTAACTAATTACTAATATAATAACAGTTGATAGTGTTTTAACTACAGACAATTCAACTTTAAGATTGTATAATGCATAAATATTTATGCTATGTATCAAGTCTATATCCTTTTAAGGTCATAATTTAAGTGAAATTTTTACATATATGTATGTAGCAAGTGACTTTTTTTTTTTTAAATTGTTGACTAAAGCTATTTATATGTATTGAGATTGTTATTCTTTTTAGGTTATGAATACTATTGCAAATTTGATACATATTAAATAAAATTGAAGTTTTGCATGTTGAATAACGAATTTTTTTTTAAAAAAAAAAATTTTAAGTAGTAGGTATACATATTTGCTTTTGTAAATCTAAGTGTTATATAAAAAAAATTATTTTAAATAAAAATAAGTTAAATAAAGCACTATATAAAAACAAAACTAGTTTTTTTAAAATAAACACCCGATAATAAGCTACTTCTAACATTAAAGGTAGAGGGTATGTAGATTATTTCTATTAATAGATGAGTAACCAAAAATATTTTTACTGCAGATTAAAAAGTTACTACATATTAAAATTAATTTTTTACTATATAAATCTATTTATATACTAAGTAGAATTGTCCACAATAAAAAATTATACATATTCTAAAAATTTTATTAATTATAAATAAAATTTGATAAAGTTTGCATAGTAACAACTTTTGCAGGAGCAGAGTTTATTTTGCAGGGGTGATCACAAATTGGCCAATCAAATCACATGATAATTATAAGTAAAATGGGGTCATGAAGATAAACAACTATATCTTGTGATTGACTAGATCAATTTTAATGATTTAATCACTATTAGAATCAGAAAACTCTCCTCTACAATTTATTAAAAAATTTAAAATAGTTACTTAATGAAAAATTTCTTTATTATTAAATATAAAATTTTTTAGCAACTAGTTTATTAATAGAAATAATCTATATACCCTTTATCTTTAAGCATAAATTGCTTAAAAACTTCTATATTCTGAAAATAAGCTACCCTGATTTTTTGAGTTTAAAATTGGTTAAAAAAAGGTAGCTTATTTTCAGAAATCTATAGTAGTTCTCATATGCTATCTGCTAACAGCCTCGGAGTTTATTACTCACTGACTGCAGACATGGCACTTGTTATTTAGAAGTAGTTTTCATACACTACTTGCTGACAAGTTTAGAGTTTATTACTTACTAAAAAGACTTAGTACTATGTAGGCTCGGGTAGATAGTTGATTCTAATAAAAAAAAACTTATGCTCTTTTAGTGGTTTTAAATGGGGTTTTTTTTTTCATATTTTGTCGATCTCACTAAAAATTTTGACAAAAAGTATGCATTTTAGCTTATCTCCTTCAAAAGGTTAGCAATGAACACAACCATGTGTTTGTTTTATTTATTATTATGATGCTACAGTATGAGATGATATCGATATCCCTGTTTAAAAGATATCTAACTCTGGTGATGTGTTAAGAATAAGTTCCAATTTTAAAGTAAAGCTTTATAGCTGAGATATATTAATTAGTTGCAATTAGTATATAGTTTTTATCTTTATACCTAGCACAGATTATAATAGTATATTTTTTCTTTTTTTTGTTTCTTTTATTTGTTTTTTTTAAAGTAATTCATCAGGACTTTTATGTATTTTTTTTGCTTTTTTCATCCTTTTCTTATTATGATAAAACCATATTTAGAACACTTTTTTTTTCAGTTAATTGTTTTTTTTTTGTTTTTTTTGTTTTTTTTCTTAGATAAATTTGTTTTTTTTCATAGATGTGACATATTTTTCTTCTCTTATAAAAAGTAAGAGATAAACTATTCTGTCTGGATCTAGGTGAAAAAAGTTTAAAAGGAAGAATAAGTAGTCTTGATAGGCTAGTGGGAACCTTCTAGTAAAGATTTATTCTTTTCAAGTACAGAAGAAAATATTTTGGAGGAGAATTTTGCCTATAGCAGGTCGCACATGGGTAATTTGAACTCTGGTCACAAAGAGCCAGATGAGCTAATACTTGTAATTTAGATGATGTTAGAGTTTATACCCTTTGAAAATTTTAATATTTCACAGTATAATATTATAAAGCCTAATAAAGTAGAAGCAAGATTGCCAAACTGTTAAAAAAATAATTCGGGCCAACCAGCCCAAAATTTTTATAATTCGGATCTAAATTTTAGTATAATTCAATTTTACACAATTATTTTACTTGTACAATATTATTTTTTTTTAATAAGTTATATTTTTTTTTTATTTAAGTTTTTATATATTTGTTTGATAATTTAATCTATTTTTATAGGTTTTTTTATATAGCTAATTGTTTAGATTAACTTTATCAAATATAAAAAACTAGAATTATAATTTATAAAGTTATAAAATAGTATAATATAGCCAATTAAAAAATATAAAAATATAAATTATATTTTTAACTATACAGTATAATAAAGATGCAGTATGTCTAATAACCTTTGACATGCTTATAACTATTATGCTAGGTTTTTTTGATTTTATTATTACATGTCACTTTTACAATTAATAGGCGAAACATGACTAAATTTTTTAATTCTTATAAACAACTTTTTGCTACAATATAAGTCGATTTTTTAACTATTGTAATTTAATTAACTAAAAAAAATTTTTTTCTTAAATAAAAATCCAAACTGTTTCAACCTTTTTTTTTTCTTATCAAATAATTGAAATAAATGCTTTTCACATTCAACCCCAATAAATTTTATAAATTATTTTAAATTTCGGAAAATTTTAACATGAATGACATCTGGGAAATCAAGATAATGATTCTTGAGCATTTTCAAGATGTTGATTCTTGAGCATCTCCAGTATTTGCGTATTCTATTGGAGGTGGAAGAAGGGCCGTGACCTATAATTAGTGTAATTTTAGTTTAAACCGGATTACAACAATAAAAACTTGGGGTCAAATTTTCGATTATATTTTTTCTTTCACATCTTTATAATTTATATTTTTCAACCATACTTTCTCATGTGTTTCTAAGGTTTCCAACTCTTCTTCCCCAGATTTGATTTTTGCAGCTAATTCAGGATCGGAATCAACAACCTCTTTTAGGGCAGATTGAATTTGTTTATATAACGAATCTTCTGCGGTAATGTTATCGGGGGCTAAAAAGTAAACACCCTTCTCTAGACTATCGGAGATTTCCACTAAGACAAAGAATCAAAAAATCCGAGTAAATAGTCTTTTTAGATTGAATAAATTTATAGATTTATTAAAGGTAAAACGTATTAAAACGCGGCATTACCACCGAGATTGTCTTCAAATGTTTTACGGAACTCGGCACGAGTATCCATAAGCTTAGCGGTTATTGCCGCAGTGGGAGTTAAAGGAACTGGACGATGGTGTCCCATTTTTATTGTTAAATTGTACGGTTGAAATGTTTATCGAAAGGAATTTAAGAAATTTGAATTTGGACTCAGGCATGCTCTGTATGCATTTATAGCGCGGCCCGAACGTGCTACTTTCTTACCCATATTAGGGATTGCTAATGAATGTTACCTGTTACACTTAGCCAGCCGTATGCTAAATCATCGCACATACAATATTTATAATTTTCTGATTTTATAGCATCTCGCGATACTAGTTTTTCGAGATAGCACAGCCGCATGCAGCATATATCACGTGATAATGTTGTAAGAATGGACCAATAATATTTATTATTGGAACCTAAAAATAGAACTTACAACCAGCAGAGATGGCCTCGTCATTTTGAAAGTTTCCCAAAGTTTTTAAATGCAAAAGCTTCAAATGCAAAAATACTTTTTTATAACACAGTCCATATTTAGAGGTTGAATTTACATTGTAAAAGATCAATTTGTAAAAAAGTCTAAAAAGTCTTCAACATGACATGGCATAAAATTCAATCATTACTAATTTCCATTGATATCATATCTTGTGTTACGCAATTGCTGAGCCAAACGCAAGGCAGTTTCCATGTTTCTTTCGTAAAGGTATATAAAGATGGACTTGATAATTAATATTTGTATGACTTTTCTTCAGACAAAGTAAATAGTAAAAAAAAAAACTTATATTAATTTGGTATATATCAAGTAGGGTTAAAAGCAAACATTGGTTATCTATTTGTAGTGTTATACTGTGGCAAAACGAGGCTTATACATAAACTTTGCTTCGTATGAATTTCACGCTTGTGGCATCTAATTGTTTTTCTTTAACTTTCCAATTTGCTTGACGATGCCTTCTTCGGATCGCCAAACTGCACTGGATCTGTATAAGTATGTACTCTAATTGCTTTATAAATCTTTCTTATTTTCATAAAAAAATCCAGTCTCTGACGACTACAATCTTTCTCTTTTTTTTTTTTTTTTTCCTTTGTACTATTTCACCCCACAAATTCTTGAAATATAATTGTTCTCCTTGTGCTTATTTCATAACTACTGAATGATCTATCAGATCTTCGGTGGAATTGGAAGCTGAGCTTCGTCAGCTTTCAAAACAAAAGCCACCCTTTGATAAACAAGTTGCAACTGTACGCACCAAGTAAGTAGAAAGGGACTCTCTTACCTATGCTGGGTAATCTATATTCCTTTTGTTGATTTAAATAATTAAAACATGATGATTCAGACTACGAGAAAATTATGAAAGAATTATTTTTCTTGACTATGAATTTGCGCAGTCGAAAGAAGTTGAACAGAATCTGTGGAAATATGTGTATTATAAATTTATTGAAGAATTCAGGAAGAGGATTCGCACTGTGAGTATATGTTACTATGAAAATGATTTAGTTGACGGATTCTTGACTTTCAGATGTTGATATATTTATCCTTTACTAGGCTGTTACCACCGGTGGAAAATCTAAGAGTATTCACCGCAAATTGACAAGCTCGTTTCGTTCGTTCTTACAAGAAGCAACAGGATTTTATTATTCTTTTATTCAGAGACTTGCTGTTCATTTTGAGTTGAAGCAACTGGATCCTATTATCAAAAAGTTTGGACTAACAATAGGTACCGTTTTTTTGATTCAATATTTTTCTTGGTGGAAATTTGTAATAATATTCATTTATTTCATTATTATTGTTTTCTTTTTAAATTAGAGTCCACCAATGCTTCTCAACATTCTTATTCTGACGATATTAAACAGAAAGCTGTACTTAGTTGTCATAAAAGTCTTATATTTCTTGGTGATTTGGGTATGTTGTGTTAATATTATCTTGCTTTATCAATCTAGATATAATATTTTCAATCCTAATACAATACTTTTATTATAATATAGCACGTTATCGGGAATTACAAACTGAGAAGCCGCGTAAAAATTGGTCCACGGCATGTGACTATTATAACCATGCAAGGCATCTTGTTCCTGAAAGTGGTTAGTATTTTAACAATGATAGAAATTGTTTCTTTTTATAGATTAATTTACTGATCAGCGGTTTAATTTTTATAAATTTATTAGGTAATCCACATAATCAATTAGCTGTAATCGCAACCTACAGTGCTGATGAATTTTCTGCTGTATACCATTATTATCGGAGTCTTGTTGTTAGGTGCCCTTTTTTGACAGCCAAGGACAATATTAGTCTTTTGTTTCATAAGGCTAGAAAGTCTTCAGCCGATGCTCAAGAGAAAGGGCAAGGGACTCCTCAAAGAGACCATAAAGAAAATGGTAGTAGACGACGTTTTTCCCATCAGCGTCAAGTACCGTCTGCAGCACAGTCAGCCAAAGTTCGAGCTGATGAAGCTACGCATGCTTTTTTTTCTGATTTTATCCGTTTGCACAGTATTTTGTACTTTAGAACAGAGTGCGTATAATATATATATTTCATACTGTTTATTAATTACTATTGTTAATCAAGCTTTAATAAGCATTTGATCATTAAATTAACCTTTAAACGATTTTATAGTTTGGAATCATATTCCGAGTTGAAAGCATCTGTGCTGAATCAATTGAGAGAAAGTGTCCTTACACTCGCATTGGATCCTGATCAACTCTTGAAATTTACGGCCATTAATATGGCAGCATCATTCGCCATTAGAAATATTGTAAATGGTGTGTAGTAGTTTATTCTCATTTTATATTTATGAATTTTACATTTTACAAATTATAACCTTTTTCAATAAATTATCCTATTAGGAGATAGTAACAATGTTAATCAAAGTCCGAAAGCCTCCATTTCATATTCTACAACCTCGAAAAAGGCTCTCGTAGAAAAATATGCCATATTATTAACTTTGGATTCACTTTCTACTTTATTGGAGATGTGTAACTCTGAATTGTTAGACGTTGCGGTTGAATGCTCGGATCAAAGACATAATGCAGTTCAAATTCTTCCTGCTCCTGTTAAAAGAAGTTTGATATCTCTTCGTGTGGGAACAAAATGGGTTTACTCTTCTCTTGAACTTCTGACTTCAATGTCTGCATTGATTGCGAAAGATCCTAATGTAAAGAATGAGGTCGCAAACATTGCTAAATTTTGGCAACGATTTGCCGAATTTCTTAATTCTTTGGAACGTTTGTTTCCTCATGACAAAGGAATTCCTCTTGATGTTCCGCTAGCAGAAGATTTTGAATTGAATGGGTTTTCTGGTTTAAAAAATAATATATTCGTGAATGAACAAAATTTTCTTAATCAAGGAGAGCCCTTCGAAGAACTGGACATGCGTATCTATGACATATTTGAGGATGCATACAAAATTTCGGAATCAGAGGTTGGTTAGCATCATTAACAACATTTTTCTATCTATACGTTATTAATATAAATTGTATATTTTTTAGTTTTCCCAATTATTCTATGTTGATGGTGTTTTTAGCTCAGGTACACCACCCAGCAAGGCTGCATCTCCTGCTAGTTCTTTGAGTCCTGTCCAAAATCAAATTACAGACCAATCATATGTTGAAGATAAAGTTGAGGCTCCTGATTTAATCACGGACCCTTATGAGACTAATTTAGCCGAGTCACAGTCCTTCGCATCTAGTAGCCCTAAAAAGCTTACTAATGATTCTTCTGAAGATGATGATGCGGAAGAAGAAGTGATCTTATTTACAGGAAGACATTCTTCTGTGATTGAAAACGGCAATACAAAGTACGAATAAATGAAATTTTATATTTATATCATAATGCGCATCTTAATTTGGATTTAAATTAATTAAAATTTTAATCGCTTATTTTAGTGGCACTGTTAATTCAGAAAAAACTTCCCCACGTCCTACTGCAGCTGAAGTCTTATTGAGCCAAGTCTTAAAATCCAATAAACCAGTACCTTCAACATTACCAGTTACGAATTCAATTAATGAATCAAATTACTGGAATCAATTTAATACAACCCAATTATTTCCGAACAGTAATTTAAACGCTGAGAATGTTGAGGCAAAATCTGCAAAACAAAATTCTTTAGAATTTTTATATCCTGTGACTAGGCCTCCAACTAACATGAACGGCAACACTGGTGCATATGCTCAAGCGCCATTTTCCACGCATACCACTATTTCTGGAGTGCCAAATGCTTCACAGGATCCTCTTGTGCCTTCTACCAAACGTTTGTCTGGAGAATTTAAACCCATTACGCCACATCAGCAGGCGACTACTATATCGAGCGCATCATTGTTTGCGTTTCCTGGTACTGATGGTGGTGTTTCGCAATTTGGTTTGTTTGGTGATCCAAACACTAGCCTCCTTGGTTTCGGAACGCCCGGACACACTTACGCTAAGTCTAGCCTATCAGTTATCAATCCACCACCTGGGTTCTCATCTGAATCAAATGCATTCGATCTGCATAAGCATAGTCAACAAAATAATCATTCTTTGTTCCAACCGTCCAATGTATTTGGATTTTCTTCTTTCGATATGAGTACCCAATTCCCATGGAAACAGGGGGAATAGACTGTTAGGGCGACACCAAATTTGCGGATCACATGGTTTTCCGATCTATCTCCCTGGTCCACTGCGACCTAAAATTGCAGATTACCGTTACATGATCAAACAATTTAACTCAACTATCCACTCACAACCAATAGTTTCGAGCACTATATTACATGGTCAAGAGACGAGGCGTATCTTTTATACAAAATTTTATTTTGACATGTCACCGAAATGACTAGAAACTGCCTTTTAATCATACATTTCTGATTAAATTTTTCAGGCCAAGTCCGGTAAGTTGTAAAGGTGAAAAACCGAAATTTTGTCTTATGGTGGCACTCAAATATGATCATGTTAGGATGTGGATAATTTATTTATCAAAAATGTTTGGTAGTCTGAAAAGTGAGAAGAATACATAATTTGTTTGTTTATCTAAATACGGATATTTTTATTCAGTGCTATATAATGAGATTTTTTCGCTCAATAAAATTGTCTTGCACGAGAAATAAATTTAATATAAATTTCAGATTATAAACAATTCACAAATTTTATGGACCCATCTAAAAACTAACCCAATCTATTTTTAAGAAATCATAAATCAAGAAAATATGATATGCTATTATTCACCATACTGTAAATTTGTCTTGGGTAAAATTTACTTTTTCTTGCAAACATCTGTAGCCATAATAAGGTTACCGTAAATTCTCGTTTAGAAATAACACGCACTTCATGTTAGATAAATATTTGTACTTTTGCCGGTCCGCAAAATAAAATTTACAGCTATTTTCAGGGACGACTAATGAATTGCTGATACCCGAAAACTGTAAATTTTGGCCCGCATCTACTATGTTTTTAACACATCGGGCCCGTAATTTTGTATATCAAAAATTTTTTAATTTCGGCTCGCGCAGGCCTCTACTTCATGGATCATAATTTTTCCTGTCTACAAACATTTTTCGACTCTAATTCCTATAAACGCTAACTCTAAATCGGACCAACACTAAATTTAATTCGGGCCAGCCTTAAGTCTATATTTGGCCAAACTTAGCTGTTAGTCTTTTATTTCGAGAATTTATGAAATTATAAAAAGACCAAATTAGAGTTATTTGCCATTATTACTTTTCTAATACAATTTTTATTTGAAATAGATATTTAATATTAATTGTGATATTTTTGGCTTTTCAAAAATCACACGCATGTTTTTATTATCGCGGTTTTCCTTAGCATGTTGGTTAAGATCGATATTTGATTACATACGTACTATTTTTTGAATCAATCGACCGTTTACGAGTATACGCAGTATACGGGTATATTCATTTCGAAAACCGCGATAAAGATGCTAATACTTTAACTATCAATAACAAATATATATACTGTATAGTCAAAATTATAATTTGTCAAATAAAATTTGACACTTAAATACTTAGTAAATATTTGAAGATTGCAGTTTCTAAATCAGGTAATGCATAATCTCAATCTAATAAGCTTTGCATATCGGTATTGTGCTTTATAACTATTACGACTACAAGTTATACAAGTAATAGATTTGACAACTATTGTAATTTGCATTAGTTACAAACAAAGTACATATTACTCTGGCTATACCGATGCTCTTCAGCAATAGAAAAATTGTTGGCATATCCAGATATCAGTTTAACAAGCACCTTTTTTATACCAACATATATTGACAAAATATTAATATGTCAGTTTAGCCAGCATAATTAATTTTTATAAGATTTTTTTAATTTGATGACAATTCCTAGTGGTCATTTTTCCGAACTTATATTATACTAGGTAGTACAGGTTTTTTCGACCTATTTCGTTTTTTAACCAAT